CCCCATCCTCTCTGGTTCGCCCACCACTCCTTTTGGGCCCCATCTCCTAGTCCCCATTTTCATCCTCTGCTCCATTTCCAGAAGCCTCCCCATCTTCCTAGCCATGCCCTGGGGGCTCTCCTCAACCCTCCCCTCATTCAGGGATGGTAAATTTTTAAAAGATGTATATTTATTTTCTTACAGCGTGGGTCATCTTTCTATAGTTAATGTTCCTCTTAGGTGCTGCCCTTCCACCAATGATCCACCACATACCACCACCAGCTCCCTGGGTCTCTCCCTGGCTCTGATCACTCCTCTCCCCCCTGCTCTAAGACGTGGATGGGTGGTCGGCCCATGGTCATGATGTTTTCCTGGAACCTTGTCCTTTTCCTGGGTGAGGACCTGGGCTCCTGGGTAGAATTGAATGTTAATTCCCAGGAGGAGATTCTTTCACCCCTGGAAGCAGAAGCAGAAACAAAGTACAGAGACTCTGGAGTCCAAGGATCCATCCGAGACTGAAGGAACCTCTATATTTGGCGGATCAGCCCATATTCTGGGAGTCAGCTGTTATGACCTGGAAACATGCTTTTGTTCTTTGTCCACAGGACTAAGAAAAATTGAGGACTTCTGACCTGACACTGGACCTGGGCGCCCCCTTGTGTGCAGATCCCTGTCCTGCCGCTGGGGGCCCAGGGAGCCTGGGGCGGGCCTGGCTGAGCAGGAGAAAGGGCGGCTCTGGGCGCCTGTGCTCAGCCCTGTGGCCACACGGGGGCGCTGCCGCGCTGTTCCGGATTCAGGGAAGCCGCCAGGACGGGGCGGTGTCTGAGTTGGGCAGAATTGGGGGTCCTGGAGGGCGGCGTCCTGGGGGTGAGATGCTCTGTGAGGAGTCAGAGCAGCAGGGCTCAGAGGAGAGGAGACTCCGGAGCCTGCCCTGGGTGTGAGGTTTCCAGCTTTTCTCCCAGAACCCCTCTCTCCAGTTCCTGGACGGTGATACCTGGGAAAACTGGAAAAGAAAAAAAAAAATTCCTTCTATAACCTATTAAATATTGAGAGTATTTTAAAAAATAACATTTAAGGAATACTGTTCGATTTACAGAAAAGTTGCAAAGGCAGTACAGGTCTTGTTTATCCCACACCATTTCCATTTTGTTAACATCCTACATGAGTACAGATTTTTTTTTTAACAACTAATGCAGCAATGTTGACATAATAACTAAACGCCATACTTTAATTTGTTTTTGCTAATGTCCATTTTATGCCCAATAATCCCCTCCAGTTTGTCTGGATGACAGTTTCTCTCAGACTTTCCTTGTTTTTATACTGTTGACACTGGTGATGTTTGGGAGAGGTGGTGGGGTCACAGATGGGGGTTCTTGGGTCACCTCTAATAAAAGCTTCCCCAGAATCCTCCTTTCAGTGGTATGAGGGCACACACACACACACACACACACACACACACAAAAGGAAAGAAGATGATGCTTGCACAAACAAAATTGGCAGGAGGAGCTGCCCCTGGAAAGGGTGGGTGTGTTAAAAGAAGCCTGTTAGTAGAGGCTCATTAGCACTCTGTTGGTGTGTGTGGTGTGGAATTACACATTTTAAAAGGTGTGAATCTGTACTCCAAAAATTTATACAGTGTTATAAATCAGTGTAACACATTCATATATATATTAATTATCGCTTTTGGGTATTTTGCTTACATAACCACTAAAAGCCATGATCCATTACTGAGGTCTTACTATGTGGGCCTCTTTGTTGAATCATAGTCTCTAGTATACTATCAGCTTTCCAATCTTCAGATATGGAGGAAATTTCTAATTCCATTTGCTCCTCAGTTGATCTATATAGCCAACATCTGCATCAATAATAAAGAAAATCCTTGAATTTCCTCAAATTATGTCCTGGAAAATGTTCCTCAAATTATGTCCCCTGCAGTTATTTAATTGTTTCCTTTCCTTCCCAGTCTGATTTGGCTAATTTTAATTCCATTCCAACAGGGAACAGAGGTAGAGAAAGAAATAGATGAGATAGTAATACATCACTCCTTAAGTCTTGTAGGCCTAGGAAAATCAAGTGTCCTCTATGGTGGCAAAAAGTAGATTATTTCCAGATGCAGGAGCACTCACAATGTAATGGAAACACAGGGTTGTATTGCCATGGGTTTGATCCCTAGCACACTTTGGAATAGGGCCTGAGTCCTGTGTCATAAGTCTATAAAACTAGCCTGGGCCCCAGGCTCCAGGGAGGACCATGGATTTCTGGCTCATGCATGCACACTTCTCTGCCCCACCGGGGGCATATTGTGGCATCACCCTCATAGAGACTTTGGGCCCAAGACCTGTTTCCTGTGGTTTCCTGAGGTGAGGTTCCCCAAACTGTGTTTGCATGGACTAGCTGTGAGCCATCCTCAAACTTCCATAATGGAGTTTCCCTTCTTGTATTTAAGTTGTATTCTGTTGTATAGTGATTTGTGGACTAGACAAGGTAGCAGAAGTACACTGAAGCAAGTTGATTAAGAGTTGATAAATGAATGTAATGTCACAGAATTAGCTGATTGATTTATTCTCAAAATGTTTATACTTCAATTAATTCATGTTTTAGTTTGAGTTACCATGTTTATCCCTTCATCATATTGCTCTGTACTATTCTTAAATAGTTTCTCATTAAACTCTTTTCTCCTTGATCTGCTTTGCAGACTTTCCAAACAAAGACCACCACCTTTTTCCAATGTATTTTTTTAAGCATAGAAGAACTGGGGTGTGGACCAGAGGTGCAGTGGTTGAGAGGATTCACCAGAGAGAGTGGGGAGCTGAGCAGGCAGATGTACTGAAATACACTGCTAAAGGGAGCAGCAGGCATGACAGGAGAAGGCTGCTGTACCCTATGTGGCTTAGCTCCCTCGTAGGGAATTGAACTCGGGCCATAGCAGTGACAGAGCTGAGACTCCCTAAGCCACCAGTGAAGCCCCTTTCCCAATAATTTCTCACTGCAGTATTGGCCATATAGAATTTAATATAAAATTAATGTGTTTTTACTGATCAATGAATCATGTAACAGGCAATTTTTAGATTTAAATTAATTTGCATGCATGTGTAAGTAATATATACTACATGGTTGATATGAACAGCTTTTCTGGTTTTTAAGTGACTCTGAAATTGAAAAGAGTCTTTTTGGTAAATGTCAAAGTTAAAATGAATATGAAAATATTTAACCTTTCGATCTAATTATAACAAAATGGAAAATAACAAAAGGCAAGGTTTCACATGGTAGCCCTGAAGGATAATACTTTTCAGATCCCTTTTATCCAACTCTTTCAATAAATAGTTCTTCATTACCTTTTTATGTTACAAGTTTGCATACTGAATCAGATTGTAATGAAATAACAGTCTAATGAAAAACACTATGTTTGACATAGATGTAGGTCATTCTGTGCCCATAAATTTTTAAGTAGTTGATGGAAAATTGGTCTCTCTAAGTAAGAGATTTTTGTTTTATTTTTAAGTTAGGCTATAGTTTTGTATCTGTGGGCAAACCATTTACTCTCCCTGGTATTATATTTCTTCTAACTAATTCTGTGAGTCATAGTCTCTTCTGGTACCATCAATATTATTGCAAATAGCAAGATTTAATCTGGTGGGGTTTTTTAGTAGCTGAGTAGTATTTGTGTGCTGTGTGCCATATCTTCATAACCAACTCATCTCTTGTTGAACCCTTAGGTTGCTTCCATCACTTTGGTATTGAAAATACTATTACAATGAACATAGGAGTGCACATATCCCTTCATATTAGTGTTTTTGTATACTTCAGATAGATATCTAAGAATGGGATTGCTGGATCATAAGGTAGAACTATTTTTGGAATTTTCAGAAATATCTATACTATTTTTCTAGGAAGGGAAAGAGTCTACCTTTCCACCAACAGTGGAGTAAAGACATGGGTATAAGTTCTGAAATCACAAAATACACAGAAAAACAAAAATGACTGAGTTCCTTAATCAGCCTTAGAGATGACTTTTGTCAATCAGATTACATTGGCAAAGGAAACAAAAACAAATATAAACAAATGGGACAATATTAAACTAAAAAGTTTCTATAGAGTGAAAGAAACCACCATTAAAAAAGCTAATGATTTGGAGAAAATACTTACATATGTTAGACAAGGGCTTAATATAGAAATTTTATAAAGAACTCATTAAACTTGTCATCGAAAGAACAAATATCTCCATTAAAAAGTGGACAGAGATGGTGAAGAGTGACTTGTCCACAGGAGACAAAGATGGCCAGCAGGCCCATGAACATGTGTTCTTCCTCTCCTATTCAGAAAGAAAATCAGAAGCAAAATGAGCAATCATCTCCTATATGTTAAGATGGTTATTATCAAAATAGACAAGAAACAAGTGATGGTAAAGTTGTGGAGAGAAAAAATCTTTGTAAATTGTTGTTATGAATTTAAATTGTTGCAATCATGGAAATAGTGTGGCAACTCCTCAACAAAATTAAGAATAGAAATATCACATGACCCAGCTAGCTGACTTCTCTTTAGTTGTCAAGCTTTATCACAAAAATATACAAACTTAAATTCAGAGATATATGGAACACCATGTTCATCATAACATTATTCACAACACTCAAGACTGAAAAACAAACTCAGAGCTCACTGATAGATGATATAATAAAAAAAAAATGTGATGTATATATACAGTGGGAGACTACTCAGCTATAAAGAAGATGAAATCCTGCCATTTGCAACAACATGGATTGACCTAGAGTATATACATTTTGCTATATAAAATAAGTCAGAGGGATAATAAAAGCACCATATGATTTTGTTACAGGGCAGGGAGAGGGGCAGCCCAGACACCACAAACCTGCCTGCTCTAAATAGGTTCTGCCATCTGCCGCATCAGCACAAAACATATGAAACTTTACTGGGAAGGAACTTCAACACAATTAGGAAACAATACAGGAAAGGCCAAGACTACAGTTTCTTTTTTTTTAATATTTTATTTTATATAATTCTTACATCATTTTTCATCTTTGCACAATGTATGCATTTTCATTTTGGTTATATTCCCAATACAACTGCACCCCCACCTTATTTTGACTCTAGTCCTTCCTCTCCTTGCCCTCCCCCCACCCACTGTGTCTCTATAGTTTCTAAATAAAGTACCCAAAGTAACCCGTCGCCTCATGGGTAAAAGTCCATCCAAAAGGGATTGGTCCGGAATAAGGCCCCAAAGCCTGCCACAGGTCTAAGGCATCTTCCAGTGGGGACCCACAGAAAAGGATCAGAAACCACCAGGAAAGCCTAGAAGGAAAAGAGCAAAATCAAAAGCAAGACAAAAACTGCCATTGTCACCTCCCCACAGGTCTCTCGCCCACATCTGTGTCACCCAGTCCACGACCAAAAGGCAAGAGCAGTTTTTTCACACGTCTCTCAGCTCCACGTGCCTCCTACCGGTCTCCTCCTGGCTCCATCCTGCTTCCTTCCTTCCTCAGTCTCCCCTGCAGCTTCTTCTCTCCCTGCTCAGCTCCACCCTCCCTTGGGTGGGGTGGGAACCTGGAACCTCCCCCTTTCCTGGGGACCACCCTGTTACAATTTCACTCCTATATAGATGATAAAGAAACAAAACAAATGAACAAACAAAACAAACCAAAACAACATCTTAGTCTGTAAGAACCAAATATTTGCTACCAGAGGGAAACAGGAAAAGGGGCTGAGGAATTTGGGTAAAGGAGTTCTTGTATGGTGAAGAATAGAAACTGTTTATTCAAATGTTAATTTTTAATGTACACCAAAACCTATCACTATATAATAGTACAAACCAGTGGAACTTCAGTAAAAATTAAAAGAAAATGAAGTGAAACACAAAGATGTTTATTAGATTTCATGAAATTTGTGATAATTCTGAAACTCCATTTTTATATATATGTAAAAATGTAAAAGCTATTCTGAGACATTTTCACTTGCTCTCTTATACGCAATACTCATACTTTTCCTCAGCAGTTAATTTTTAAAAACAATGGAATCAACTGATGGCATAGGAAGGGACATTTAAAGGTCTTAATTTCAGAAGACATTTATTCTGATTGCTGTCTGTTCTTTACAGTTTTTGCTATAATACATGGGAGTCAGAATCTACAAGATGGATGAGGGTTGCTCAAAGACCCACATTTTGATGTAAATTTCCTAAGTCATCCTAAATTCCATCCACTTCAAAATTCATGGAGCAAACCCAAAGATGTAGAATTGTGGAGTAAAGGGAAATGATTTCCTTAGAACAAGGAAATGACACCCTCAGGCTAAGTTCAACCTTGTAAATACAATGAAAAACCAGCCACATTCATTTGTTAATTGCCTTTGGCTATCTTCTTGCTGTAGTGCAGATTTTAGTAGTTGCGATAGAAACTACAATATATGGTAAATAAAGTTTGAAATATTTATTCCTTGATGAGAGACAAATTTGTCAATCCTTGTTCTACAGTCATGATTTGTAAACATTCAAGCGCAGCTTTTCTGGCATAGGGAGGGTGAAGAAAGAGATCTGAGCCTGTGTACTTCTTCCCTTATCAGCTCTATGAATCTACAGAAAATAAGGGAACTTTTTAGAGTTTGAAAATCAGTGAATTTATCTTTAATTGCCCAATCAATATTAGCTTCCTAATGCTGTTAATAACATTTGTATCAGAAATAATAATAATTCAGGGTCAGTGATATAAGCGATGATTGGATAGTCATTTTAAGTTGAACAAACATTATTAAGCACTCTTTGTGGTGGAACCATAGCTGGGGGAAGCGTGAGGTATGGGGGTGTAAGAGTGCAGCAGAGATGGAGTAGAGAACAGAAAAGGAGGATTTATTGAAATACCCTGCAAGGGAACAGGGGGCAAGAGGGAGCTATACACCTGTGTGTGAAGGATTTGAGACTTTTACACTAGGGTTACATAGGGTTTCTTACTTGGGGAGCCAGTTTGCATGGGTTATCTGCCGGGATGTCTGCTCTTTGGTGCAGACCTTTGACACAGACACATGTGCAGTCCCTGCCTCTGCATTCCTGGAGCTGGGCTGGTTTATCTGCCGTGGTGGTCAGTCTAGTGGCCCAGTTCCCATGGCAGCCTTATTGATGTCCTTCTCTGCTCAAGTCTCTCAAACAGGCCTATGGGGTAAGAGTGAGAGCTTAGTTTTTAACCTTATGAAATGATACCCTGACAACCGTGTTGGGCCAGATGTATACTGCAGGAGTGACAACATAATCCTTTCTCTGGAAATCACAGTATTTTCTTTCCTTTTTCCAGAATTTATACTATTTTTGCTGATTTAATGGGCACATGTTTTAATATTTGGTAATTAAACATGGTTTTGACAGTGACTAGTTTCTGTGAATATCTTAGACCTTATCTCACAATTCCTTCTCCTTTGTCCACAAGAAACACTGACCTCCTTTTTCTTACTGAAGGGTGATTCAGTCATTTCTGCCTCTCTGTGCTCCCCTCTGCAATTGTGCTTTCTCCCAAACTTTGCTGTATGCATCCTGGTCTGTAAATAGAGTTCATATTGTCATTTATTGAAGTATTACAATTTCCATTAAAGAATAATGTTTTCATAGCTTTACAGATACATACATTTTATTAAAAATATCCTTAAGGGTTTCATATTTTGATGTTATCCTAAATGGTATTGAAAATTCAGTTGGTTTCTTTTGATCCTTTGTACAGATCCTATCATCATTTGTTATTTCTCTGTTGGATTATTTTAAAACTTATTTATATTGCTTTTTTTCCCCTGCCACTGAAAAGTCAGTTTTATCACAACATTCTCTCTATATCTTGATCACTAGAACACTATCAATTCTACAAAAGTACAGTGTAGTTTCTCAATAATTAGTCATTTTTAATTTTGAGTGAATATCATATATAGGTAACCTTGGAAAAAATAATTAACCTCTCTAAATCTCCTTCCTCAGATATTAATACATTTGTAAGTGCACATATTGATATATGCAATATATATAGAATTAAAACAATGATACTTATACTTCCTGATATTTATCACTATTAAATCACTTTATTTTGGCTAAAGTGTTAAAAGCAACCTAAAAAACAAAGTATTCTGGGGCCTCCCCGGTGGCGTAGCGGTTGAGCGCTGGGTTGCGAAGCTGCCCGCAGCCTCTGTAGCACCGGTTCGATCCCCGGCTGCTCCCCGGCCACCGGAGGAGGGTCCCACATGGCGCGCAGACCTCTCCTGCCACCCGCTGCTCCCCTCAGCAGTGTACTTCGGTCCTTCTGCCTGCTCTACTCCTTGCTCTGGCTCTGGTGAATTCTCTCACCCTCCCGCGCTTGTGACTGTACCCAGTGCATGTACAAATAAATAAATAAAAAAAAAAAAAAAAAAAAAAAAAAAACAAAGTATTCTGAATTTCCTAACATTTTTGTTTAGTTTTTAAGCACATTGGTATTGTTAAGACCTATTGGATTTGTTAGTATAGTCCTTCTCAAAGGAACTATTGTGTATATAGTATTATTATTTAATGTTATTTTTCTACAAAACTAGACTCCATGACACAACTTTAGCCCCAAAAAAGAAAGACATGCTGAAAAAGCATCCTGAAATTACCTCTTGAAAATTTTAGAATTTAAACCTTACTAGTTCATTCCAACACTAGTAACTGTGCCTCCTTTTTTTTAATATTTTTAAAGATTTATTTTATTTATACAAACACCGGGGTGCAGGCCAGATGCACGGGAGGGTGAGAGGATTCACCAGAGACAGAGCCGGGAACAGAACAGGCAGACTGACTGAAATCCACTGCTGAGGGGAGCAGCGGGCGGGGCAGGAGAGGTCTGCTCGCCACGTGGGACCCTTGCCGGGCACAGCAGAGGCTGTGAACAGCTCCCCAGCTCGCGCTCAACAGTCTGCGCCCCCTTTTTGCTGTTCTTTGCACAGTGTTAGAGCGACAGTAAAGCATCTGCACAAGGCAGGGACAGTATGGGGACGCCTTGAAAAGCCAAAACCTAGGACGGGATTGCTCAGGGCAAATGAAAGGGCCTCTCAGGCATTCTACCGGTTGTCATTAAGTGGGAGCTTTTTCGTTAAGGCTGAAAAACCGCTGGGGGTTCCGTTGCCAATGGCTGTGGCCTCTGGCTCTGACGCCACAAAGAGCCATTGTGAGGGCACCGGCACCGCCTACATAAGGCCCGCCTGGACTGCGTCTGTGTCCTCAGGAGCCAGGAAGCTTTGGGACAGTGACCTGTGCGCTCCGGACTCCGACAGAGAGAGTGAGAGCGTGTATTGGGGTATTTGGTTTTCTTTTGGTTTATTTATTGCTTTATTTATTAAATTATTTGTTTAGGCTATTTATTTTAGTTATGTTATTTTTCTTTTTTTTGTTTGTTTTTTTCCTTACTTTCCTTAATTTTTTTTGTATTTGCTTATAGTTTTTTTTTTTCCTACTTTTTCCTTTTATTTCTTTGTTTTTTATTTTCCTTTATTGTTTTGTTATTGGCTTTTCTTTTTTCTTTTTTCTTTTCTTTTTTTTTTCCTTCAGTTTTTAGTTTTGTGATTTTTTTTTTTTTCAAGTGGTCTCCCTCATTTTCCCTTCTGTTCTTGTTTCGTTGTTTGTTCTTTCTTCCCCTTTGTCATTTCTCTGAGTTTTTATTTTGATTTGTTTGTTTGTTTTTTCCCAGATTTTAGTTTCTAATCATGGTTTGTTCTGTTGTTTATTCTATTGGTCTTTTTGTTGTTCTGTTTTATTCTTCAATTTAGTAGTTAGTTTGTAAATGGTTTGTTTTTATCATATTTTTACATTTATATCTCATTTGTCATTTTTTGGTTGTGTAGTTTCATTTATTTGTAGTGTAGTTAGTATTGCTAGTAAGGTTAGTGAAGTTAGTATTGCTTGTTGAGTTAAGTTAGCATTGTTAGTATTTAGTGAGGTTAGTGAATACTTTTTGAGTACTATTAATACTAGATTAATAGTACATTTGTTAATATCATAGGACAGTCAGCTGTCAGCGGAGATAGCGCAAGGGCTGGGAGCACAGTCAGGGCTGGTGAGGGTAGTCAGCGTAGTCCAAGTGCATAGGTGCTATGTCCCAGGGACGACAAGCGAAAAGCTACCTGGCGCTGCGGGAGCTGGGGCGGGGCACCCACGCCAAGGTGACGCTGGCACTACACACACTCACGGGCACGAAGGTGCTCATCAGGGGCGTCCACAAGTCCGAGCTGCCCGACCTCCTGCTCCTGGCCTGCGAGATGGGGTGTATGAAGGCCCTTCACCACCCGAACATCGTGGAGCTCTTCCAGGTGGTGGACACCGGGCCGGAGCTGCAGCTTGTGATGGAGTCCATGCAGGGGGAAGACCTGCAGGACTACCCAAGCAGGCATGGGCGCCTGGAGGAGAGCGAGGCCTGCCAGCTCTTTCAGCAGATCCTCACAGCCCTCAGCTACTGCCATGCCAAAGGCATCGTGCACCGGGATGTGAGGCTCAAGAACATTCTGCTGACCCGAGAGAGAAAAGTCAAGCTGGCGGACTTTGGGCTCAGCATCCAGGGCTTCAACTGGGCGCTGAGCACGTGCTGCTGTTGCCCAGAATACAGGGCCCCCGAGGTCTACCTTGGCCAGCAGTACAATGGCCCCAAGGTGGACGTGTGGAGCCTGGGCATCATGCTCTATAAAATGGTGACCAGCACACTGCCCTTCAGGGGGCCCAGCCTCAGGGCGATCAGGGAGCATGTCCTGGGCAAGTGGGTCCAGCTGCCCTCATACCTCATGGTCCAGTGCCAGAACCTGCAGGCCAAAATGCTGGCATGGGACCCCTGGAGGCACAGCACCCTGGAGAGCATCCAGCAGCACGCCTGGGTAGCAGAAACGAGCAAGGGACTCCTGCCCTTCAGCAAGCCTTCCCTCAGCCCCCAGGACCCGGCCATAACCAAAGTTATGGAGTGCCTGGGCTACGAGAGGCAGGAAATTCGGGAGGCCATTGACGCTAACAAGTAGACAAGGTCATGGCCACCTACCTGATCTCCACTCCAGGAAGCAGGAGGGGGAGGAGGACTATGAGGAAGAGGGGAAGGAGCGGCCCAGGCGCGTCACCTTCCAGGTGCCAAAGTGCGTCACTTTCCGGGTGCCCGGTGACCCCGATTCCAAGGACTGCCCCCCGCAACCGGAGGTTTCGGGGAATACCCCAAGGCCGGGTATCCTGCGAAAGCACCCAGTGCAGAAGAGAGGAAAGGATGACCCCCCCACCCCCGCAGCCTGAGGTTTTGGGGAATACCTGAAGGCCAGGTATCCTGTGAAAGCAGGAAGTCCAAACGAGGGGAAAGGATGCCACCTCGGGCAACAGGGTCATCTCTGCCAGAGTCCCTGAGCTGGAGGACGCCCAGAAGCACACCATCACAGCAGGGCCAGGCCGCCTGTTAGAGGATGCCCTGAAGGGCAGACCCTCCACGCTAGGCCCGGTGCTGGAGGACGCTTGGGAGGACACCAGCACCTCTGTGGCCGGACCCCAGCAGGAGGACACCAGGGAGCACAGCAGCACCTCGGTGTCAGTCCTCCAGCTGGAGGATGCTGGGGAACACAGCAGCACCACTGAGACAGGCCCCCAGCTGGAGAGGGACCAGGATAGCAGGGCCAACACAATCTGTCCAGCTCCCCAGGCCTCCAGCACCACCCTAAGACCTCCCCCAAGACGTGGCTGGCCTTCCAGTGCAGTGACCCCTTCAGCAATCATCAGGGCCAGAGATAGGGTATTAGAAATTATCCTGGAATTTTGTTGCTGCTGTGCAGCATTCGAATTGCAGAACAACAAAGATTAAAAATAGCGCCACACCAGGCAAAAGCCTCCCCACACCCAAAGCACAACCACTCAGTGGCCATGGTGAATAGGAGTACACCAGGGAAGGTTGAGGCTCTGGAGAGGCTCAGGGGCTGGGCCCAGTCACAGGGCCCAGGAGCAGCATGAGACGTACGGGACTGCAGCACAGAAATCTGGGCAACACCGATGTCCCTGGAGCACAGACGTCCCTGGAGCAGAGCAGGTGAAGGGCCAGGGTGCCGCGGACCAGCACAGCAGTAGATGATGAGGCCGTCTCAGGGTTGAGAGACTGCGCAGGGTGGTCAGGGATTCGGTTAAAGAAATGACAAACAGACACACTTCAAGAGAGAGTGTAAATCTGAGTGTAATTTTCTCTGGGTTTGTGGCCAGTATTTATATGTTCTCTAAAAGCATAGGAACAGTGAATATACTTTTCACAAAGTAATATTTTTTATCATTAAAAGCTAACAAAGCCAAGGACACAACAGAGAAATCATTAAACTAACAATTCTATTGTTACACAGAGTTTAGTAATGTTTCATTTGTATTAGCCTTTTTATATATTTTTTAATTAGCAACTAATGACCAGAAAAGGGAAAGATTTTAGAAATACAGTTGTAGCAGAATAAAGTTTGTAGATCTGAGACAGCGAGATAAGGTTCCAGGTGGTCAGCATTTCTTTTAATCATCTCTGTGGCGGCTTCTGGTGGTCATTATCTCTTGGCAGGCATTCGGCTTCTCTGCATCTCAGGGAGTTTGCTGTTCTCCCCCTGTGCGCATGGTTCCTTGCCCACGCCGGACCTCAGGGACCATGGCAACAGCCATTAGCCCTGAAGGTCACTGCAGGGGGAGGTGCAGCACCAGGGGGGGCCATGGAACTGGTGAAACACAAGGAGGGGAGCAGAGCAGGTAAGTGGTGGGGTGTGGAGGGGTTGGGGAGAGCTGAGCAGGTACAGGGCCCCAGGAGGGGTATGTGTGGGTGGCCCCAGGGCCAGAGGCCCCAGAGCCAGAGGCGGGAAACCCTGGGCTTCTCTACCCCATCATAGGCTCAGTTCCCTGAGGACCATACTGCCCCCTTGCTGGGAGAGACCTGCTGCTATATCCTGGGCACAGGGATGGCATAGAAGAGGCAGGAGCTCTTGCAAGGCTTGGGCCCAGGTGGTAAAATGTGCAGATTGCAAAGAGCAGATAGAGAGGCTTTCTAGCTCCCCTTAAGAAAGACTCGGGGACCAGTATATTAGAATCCAAACAGGACTCTTCAAGGTGGACAGAGTTTATTCACAGACCAGCCCTACTCCACCACGACCTGCTCAGCTGGAAAATCTGCACATCTTCCTACACCAGGAAGCCCTAGGCTATGATCAATCTCAGTCCTGCAGTGAGCACACCTAGCTGTCCATTGTCACCTCGAACTTTTGCAGC